CAACAAATGTTTCAGATGATCTGAAATTATTCTGAGTAGTCTGGAAATGTTTCAATTGCCAATAAATGTTTTTGAGTAGTTAGGGAATATTCAGATAGTCAGGAAATGTTCGGGATAGTCAAGAAATGTTCGAGTAATCTGAAAATATTCCGAGTGGTCTGAAAATGTTCCAAGTAATCTAAAAAGTTTAGTCTGAAAAATATTCTGAGTGTCTGAAAATATCTGAGTAGTCTGAAAATATTCTGAGTAGTCTGAAAATATTCCGAGTAGTCTGAAAATTTCTGAGTAGTCTGAAAATATTCTGAGTACTCGGAAAATGTTCTGAGTAGTCTAAAAATATTCTAACTAGTCTAAAGATGTTCTGGATAACCTGAAAATATTCTAGAGATTTGAAAACATTTTTTGTGGATTATTTGAAGCATTTTTAAATACTCTGTGGCAATTCGCAACATTTTCAGACAATTCTCGCTTGGTCAGAAATAAGAAATTAATTATATTTACATAACTTTTCTTGCTACCAGCACTGTGTTTATTACTATGTATTTCGTTTATCCATTAGCATAAATTGGGGGCCAACCACACAAATGTTATGATTCCCAAATAAGGACTTAAGAAGTTAAAAAAAAACAATAACCGAGGAGGAAGATGCGTAACACGGAAGACATGCATTTTTGACAACAATCGAGATAAGTAAACAGATGAATGGTATTATTGTTTTATTATAAAGTTCCTAGTGCCTTTTATGTTTTGGTCAATACGCAGAGATCAAAGTTAATTTAGTTTCAAATCAAATGTTAAAATTCATCATATTTTAGAACCGCGATTTAATTACATATTTAATAAATTAAAGCAATTTTTGTCGACACTTTTATCACACACTTTTTATTGGTAAAATCGTTTTTAGTGAAGAAGTGTTAGTGTATGATAAATCATACAGGTAATTAATTTTGTTTTTTCTGAATACATTTTTTTAAAAAAAGGGCACTTTATAATTTTCTAACGTTTCTAATAATTCGTTATATAATCCTCATTTATTTTTATTTTTTATTTATTTAAAAAAAACTTCTATTTTTTATTACTTCTTGGATTCTTTGTTCGAAGCTTTACTGCAGATATTTCCCATCGACATTACGAATGTGTAAATATTGATTCTATTACATCATTGAATTCGTAAACGATTCGATAAATAAATTGCAATTAAAAAAATGTATGACATGCTCATTCTGCCATCGTATATTTGCACAGGTGCGTCACTCCTTAAATTATTCAGAAGTCTAACATACTTACATATATTTTGCAAGAAGAACAAATATTTCATACACTTGCGGCGGCAACGATTCTTAATTTCATATAATCTACGATATAATTACCGATAAAATACTTAATACATAAAATGGATGATCTAGTGGAATGAAGAGTACAACGCCGTAAATTGGTGGACATGTAGAACGAGATTATATGATAGGTATATTGGTAAAATGGTGGATTGATAAACTGCTAGACAGGTGAATTGGTAGACAGGTAAATTGGTACACTGATAAACAGGTTGACAGGTATATTGGCGGACTGGTATATTGGTGGGCAGGTAAATTGGTGGCCAGGTAAATAGATGAACAAGTGAATACATAGATACGTAGACATATGAACAGGTAGGCAGGTAAGTTAGTAGATAGGTAAAATAATGGACAGGTAAATTGGAGGATATGTAAAATGATAGAGGGGGCAACCGGAAGACAGACAATAATGTAGGCAGATAAACAGGTTGAAAGGTGAATTGGCAAGCAGGTAAAACGGTGGATTAATAAAGAGGTTGATAAGTAAATTGGTGTACAGGTAAATTGATAGACAGATGAATTGATAGATATGTAAAATGTTTATTAGGTAAATTGATGAAGTAAACGGTGAACAGCTAAAGTGGTAGACTGATAAACAAGTTGACAATTATACTTGTCAACAGGACTAGATGCAACATATATGTAGTTATACTGGTGGACAGGACTAGATGTAACAAATATGCATCTTTGTTTAAATTTTTAATCGAAAGTAAAACACGGCGAAGCCGAAGCGTGAATGGTAACAACTAGTATATATATATATATATATATATATATATATATATATATATATACACATATATATAATATTATACATAAAGTGTGTCCCAGTGCCATTGTCGATTACGTAAAGAACAGTTATAAGTAGAAAATAAGGAAATGCAATTTCTCATCAACAAGAAAAACATAATTTATGTGTTTTTTGTTCGTGGAATCAAACGTAGATGTCATTACTGTCTTTTTATGGAACATTTGCGATTGCGATGACGGTTTCTGTAATTAACGACACGGTTATATATATATATATATATATATATGTATATATATATATATATTGTATGATTCTGAATTTGATGTTGACATATGTATTAACAAAGTCTAATAATCGGGCATAACATCAATAAAATCAACAATCACTAAGATCAACTAATTGTAAGTACTAATTACTATTTTATTTTTTTCTTTTCACTCCCATTCAATTGTTTTAGTTTTTAATTTTATTTTTAGTTTCCACTGAATGAAGGCTAGGATTATAGCCGAAACGTATGGATTTAAAATAAATTTTTGAAAGAAATTCATGTTTTTTATTGATGTTATGCCCGATTATTAGACTTTGTTAATATATATATATATATATATATATATATATATATATATATATATATATATATATATATATATGAGTGAGTTCTTGAGGGCGATACATCAAACAAAGAAAAGCCAAAGATTTATAAAATAATCTTTATTTCCAAACGTTTCGACATTCAATTTAATGTCATCATCAGTGGATATTACGTTGGTTAGTTACATATAGAGAAGTGTACACAGCACTAGAGATTGGCACTAACATTTATACAACTAACTTGTCAGCACTATGCATTTTTTATATAATTTTTTTGTATGATGTAAACAGAAAAATGATAGTTTTATTGAACAAAAATGTAAGTAGAATTATGTAATTTCTGCCACGACTTCTGTACTTTGCTAGTACCGAGGCATGTATACTAGTTGATACATGCGAAGACAGGTCCATGGAATTTATAGCACCACATTTCATATCCTTTCTTGTTCACTGGCCGAAGCAGAATTTTATATTTTCACCTGAAAATCTGTCTTTATACTTTTTCGACGTTCTTGTCATTATAAATTCTATGGCACCAAATTTATCCTTTTTCGGCTACACTGATTTCAAAAAATCAAAAAGTAATCAATGAAATAGATAAAGAGTTAAACATTCAAAAAGCAAGTTTGAAGTAATTCAATGAAAACTTGCGTTCATTAGTTTTGAACGACTAGCGGCCAAGCCGTTTTTTAAACTAGCAGAAAAGTGCAAAATTTTTCGTCCGCTTTTCAGGCAAACATTCTGAACGAATTTAAAAAAATTAAAAACTGTTCTTAAGAAATAAGTAACCAAAAAGCTGTGGGCGACAAATAGGCACAGAAATAGATTTGTATATAATAGATGTGAGCGTAACTAAGTATAAATGCATGGATGTTTAGATTTATTAATAAATAAATAAATAATCGTGCAGATAATGAAACGGGTGCATTAGAATAACAGTGCTACAGATCGTCCGACCGTTTCCCACGTTTCGTTCGACCGAAGAATAAAAAATAAAAAACAATACTCGAACTGAGAAAAACGGAAACACGCAATGCCTAATTATTATACGGACATACATAGTCAAATATGGTCAAATGTGGTCGAAAAGGTAATTGAAGAAGTACTGCCGGATTGTGGCAGAAGAAGAAATAAAGTGTAACAGCTATTCTTGGTGAACCGTTTTATCCCATATGGCACCAAGATAAAAATAACATTAACAAGTTCAAAATAATACATAAGCAAGAAGTCTAATTAATGCTATCATGAAATAATTAATAATCGAATGAACGCCATAGGAATAGCTTTGTAACAATTTCGAGACTACCAAAACATTGAGAGACCAATTCTCCGATAAAGTAGACAGTAACATAGTGTTTATGGCAACGCACAGCAAATACATAGCATTTTGACATTTTCTACTACCAATTCATATGAACATAAGACAGTAACTTAGCCATAACAACCCTATGTTACGGCGTATTTTATCCAAGAATTTCTTAGCATAGCAATGTTATCTGAGAATAGGTCCATAAATCTCAAACCTCTACTGAGGTGCGAACCGAGCCCAAACCAATTGAAAAAAACGACAAAATACTTGTACTCCGACTTTTAAGAGGCTCTTCACAGATTTAAAACATGGACTCTAAATTCATAAAACAACTTATTGTTAAAACAAATGCGCATTACACTTGGTGTTTTGTTTTCATCATTTAATAGGTGGTATGCTGTACTCCAATTGATTGCACTTTTTAATGTATGTTATAATTCTCTAATTATAATAAATGTACGTATAATATTTTTTCATGTAATGTAATCTTATCTAAAATTAAATCTAAGGGTAAATTTACGTGCTACAGGTGGAGGCAACCTCTATAAATTGCTAAAACAATTAAAATTTAATCAATGATGATGCAATAAAAATCAAAGCAGTCGTAATTTGTGATCTATTTATACTTGCTTATCTATGAACTAACAATAAGACAAGATTAATAAATGTGAGATGAATTATCCGAGAACGAAGGAATAAAGGTACTGCTAATCAGTCTGATTTTTCAAAATTTCAAGTGAACTTAAAAAGCCAAATCTATTCTGAATTAAATGATCAATAAAAATCAGTAAAGCGTTTCTTGTTGATTAGTATCGTCTTTGTCGCTGATAGTTAGATTAAAACTAATACAATTAATTACTAGTTAGTTTCTTCTAGATTTCTAATTTTAGATCATTTGTTTGTCGCCAATAGCCGATTACTTATTGGCGGAGCTTTCATAGCAACATAACAATGTATTACACAATGTGGAAAATTATGTTAATATTTTGGGGAATTTTGTGGTGGGGACTCCATGTGGTGTATATTGGCAGCCGACAGACGCCGGTTTCCAAAAATGATGTACTGAGTATGTCTTGATGGCCATACCCAATCGGACGAGAGCCCCCTTTGTGGGGGGCGCAGCGAGCCGAACCCACAGTGTCGAGTACTCTTTTTAATCGAAGCAGGCCACGATGGCCGTATATGACGAACGGAGCACAGCAGAGTCATCTGAAGGAGAAAGGATAGGATAGGGAGCGAAGCAGCAATTGTCAAATTTAGGTCCAAACCAGATATCAAGCAGTAGTGATAATATCAATATGATTTCAAGCGATTGCTGCATCAACTTAAAAGTATATCATTAATATTAAAGAAATTTAATTATTAGAGGCCGTTTGTAATATTTTTACAGTTATGACAAAAATGATGCTTATTTCTTAGGATCGCATCAAAGATGTACCGAATAGAACCCAACGAATGTTAGATAATTAAATAAATAACATCTTCCGTTTTTTGCACTTTATGGCATTTATGTTATTTCGTGATTATATATATATATATATATATATATATATATATATATATATATATTAACAAAGTCTAATAATCGGGCATAACATCAATAATAAACATGAATTTCTTTCAAAAATTTATTTTAAACCCATACGTTTCGGCTATAATCCTAGCCTTCATTCAGTGGAAAAATCAGTTAATCTTAGTGTTAAATTGAAAATTTTAATAATTCATGGTATCAAGATCCTGATACCATGGATTATTATTAATGATGTAGGAGGAACATAATATAAAGTTATAGAACTTATATATAAGTACTTACAGAATTAATTATACAAAAATACACTACATTATTACACTGTGATAAACCAAGCTATTAATTTATACGCAGTGTAATAGTGTAGTATATTTTTGTATAATTAATTCTATAAGTACTTATATATAAGTTCTATAACTTTATATTATTTTCCTCCTACATCATATAAAATCTTTTAGTTTTTCCACTGAATGATGGTCTCGATGAAGACCGAAACGTATGGATAAATAAAGTATTTCAAAACTACTTTAGTTTTTTTTTACTTGGTGTTACTGCCCGATTCTAAATAACTCATCAATATATATATATATATATATATATATATATATATATATATATATATCTTATATATAAAATTCTTCTGTACAGGTATAAAATAATATATTTGATACTTCTTCTAAAAGATTATTCGGATTTTGATAATTCTTTTTTGAGTTTGTCAAAGGAAATTTTTAATGAACGATAAAGCTATAGTAATATTGTAGAAATAAATGGGATAAATTACAAAAAAAAAACACTTATCATTGTTTAACATTGAAAACATTTGAACTGTCATCTGCTAGAAATGTCAATTTACTTGAAATTTGAATTTAGCTGAAGTTATGTGCCTAGATAATATTAGAATATAATACACAAGAAAAATGTAATGTCTACATTATTATTGCCAAAAATCAATATCAGCTGAGATGTGCCAGAATTTATATAATTCTGTTTAAAAAATAACGCAATAAGTCCAAAATTGCTTATACTACTTTATTTTTTTAAACTCATGCATGTCGCATTTTGGTTTACTTTACTAACTTATTTAACAATGCAAAAAAATGTTTCTACTAATTAAATAAATGATTTAGAATTTTGTTTAATGTGTCAAAAATTCATTTGTCTGACATTGGATATAGAATATTTAGTAAGTTGATCTTAGATTGAAGAGTGCTCATATGAACTAGATTTTACAAATTAATTCAACTATTTGAACATAAACAATAATGTTTATTGAATTATCAGTAAGAAAAATGTACTTTAGAAATTATAATTGCCAATAAGCAAGTAATATATCGTACGAGATTCTGAAAACTATAGACTAAATTATTGAGGCAATTATGTTGCGTGGTAAAATCAAGTGTGATATTGTTCTTTTACAGCAGATACTATATTATTTTTTCTGAATTTCTTATACTGCTTATGCTAAGAGCATAAATGAATCACAAGGGCAGGACACCAAATAGGATATTCAACAGTATAAGATAGGATATTAAAATTTTGGAACTTTTGAATTTCAGACGTGGGCACAGTACAAATTCTGTCGGGTCATCTAGTATATATATATATATATATATAATATGTTGTGCTCATAGAATTTAGCGCAGACCGATGAGATGATAAGATAAGATTGTTTCTATTTTCGAAAACAAATAAAAGTCAAAGATTACAATATAGCATACTGATTCAAGATAAAGAGATATGAAAAATAAAGATAAAGAGGATGAAAAATAACGTGCGTGAACATTTTTATTGGAATAACATTTTGAAGGTTATTATCTATAAAAATTGCAGCTAATTTGTATCTCTAAAATTTTGTCCAATTTTAGAATTGTAGTCAAGGGCTTATATTTTTTCATCATTATTCTAAAGATGCATAATCTTGATGACATCGTTGACTAGATAATGATTCATATATTTTGTTAATATCTATTTAATCTTGATGTAGATTCTTATATAGTTTAAGAAGATGTTAAAGTTAAATAAATTTTCTAAAACTGCCTTAACAGAAAATTTTCTAACACAAGCGCTTACATTTAGAATGATAAAAATAGATAATACTTATCACATTGCTTGAATACTTATGTTGTAGATCGTGGACATTACCTGAAACAAAAAATAAATAAAATTATTTTAAGAATAATTTATTAATTGAAATTTAAAAAACAAATTTAATTATTCAGCAGCAATTAATTAAAATATAATAAAATATCTTTTCAAATTTTAAACCAAATTTAAATCTCTCAAAAATATTTATCAAACATTCAAAATAAACATCTCTTAAAATTATTTATAATTTTTTAAATATAGGTAGATTAAACGGGACTTTACTGCAAATTGTCTTAAGGTCATACTCATAATAGTTACTACAAGTATTATAAGTAATCTTAACTTACAAATATAGACTTTCTAAGAACTAAACTAAAAATGCTATGTAAGTCCATTCTGCCGTTAATTGCTAAGATAAATAATTTACATAAGACGACGTGTTTGCATAGAAAACATTCCAGATCTCATATATTTGTTGTTAATAAGATAGTACAGAAATATATACTTGAGGTCAACAGCCCTCGAAATCAAAAAATAATATTTATTTAATTTTAACTGAAAAAGCTTGTAACCAAAGTTTCTGAAAATTGTCTTTCAAATACATATTTACAAAATTATATTATTAAGCTGGCGACTAAGAAATCCGTAATTCAGTTGAATTTTTTAGGTTTGCTGACGTAGTCAAAATGTGAAACATATTTTATTATTGAACAGCAATTCAGCTGTCAATTAGTAAAAAAGCTATTAATCTGTTTCTTCGCGGATCAACCGATTTGAATGATTCAAAAAACATTCGATTTGTATCGACTGGGAGACGTGCTAATTAATTTCTAGCAAAGGCAGGTCCAGACGTTTCGAAAAGCTTTAACATTTTGCCTATAAGGAACTAATAATAAAAGCTCCAGTTTTTGTAATATGATTGTTGTATGATTATTTACGGTACGGGAAGTTTCAGCAATTTGCCTTAAGGCGGGATACCATGCTAGTTTACTTATAGAACCGTGCAATGTATAAATGATGATTGCCAAAATGATTAAATTCAATAACAATGTAACGAAACTATAAGGCAACCAAAACAACTAACAATATATAAATATCTAATATAATGTAAGTAGGTTTAAAACCCAACTAATGGCTTAAATAATATTCAGAACCTGGCTAAAATTAATAAAAACTAGTTGGTTTGGTATTTAGCCTTGAGGCAAGTTACATGAACTTCCCGATATGTGTAAATAATCGACTTAATCAAAAAAAATGTATAAATAATATACTTCATCAATCCTACTTTTAAAAAAAAACGATAATAATTTTAGCAAAGTTTGACAAATTTTTAAAATTAAACTACTTGTCGTAAGGCCGTAATATTACAGTAAGTTCTATAAGACCACGATGTATATCGCCAAAAAAAGTTCCATGAAAATTGGCTTAAATTTTTTTTGCAACAGTTAATTACAAGAAAACGGCTCGGTAGATTTTCACCTAAAATTAATCAGTACCATTCCCAACTAATATCTTTCGAACAGTTTTCGATTTTTTAAAATCGGTTCGGTAGGATGAGCTTAAATGTGGACGAAAAGTTTAACACTTTTTTTCAACAGTTAATTACAAGAAAACGGCTTGGTAGATTTTCACCTAAAATTAATCAGTACCATTCCCAACTAATATCTTTCGAATAGTTTTTGGTTTTTCAAAATCGTTTTTTAAATTACAAGAAAACGGCCCGGCCGATCTCTACCAAAAACTAATCAGGTCGATTCCCAACCAATATCTTTCGAACGATTTTTGAATTTTCAAAATCGATTCAGAACTGCGGGCTAAAACGTGGACGAAAACCTTTTCACTTCTCTGCTATTTACGAAGAAACGGCTTGGCCGATCGTCGCACAAAAGAGATACTTCGAATGGCTTTTAAATTTTTGAAATCGGTCCAGCCGTTTTTGAGAAAACGGCGATTTACGGCAAAAAATCTGTTGGTGCACACATACTTTTTCCAAATTTGGTCTCATTCGATTCAGAATGGCTTGAAACGTCGAGAAAACATAAAATTAGCGAATCGGATTTTTTGATGAAAACAAACTTCTCCTTCGGGAAGTTAATTAATGTAAATCGGTTTAAAATATGACTTACATTAATTAAAGTTACTAGTTTAAATACCTGGATTTTTTTGTCATTAGTTTCATCACCTAGTTCGTGCTTTAAATTATTTAAAGGCCCATTGATTAGTGATTAAAGGTATAAAGATTTCAATAAGAAGTACCAGCATTGATAATAGCCTCAACAGCCTGATGTCAAGCAGTTGTGACAACGGTTTCACTTGGAAATATAGGAACATGATTTCAAGTAGAAGTAGCCCACATTTGGCATTGCTGCATAAATAAAGAATAATAGAAAAACTACCAATATTACAAAAAAATGTAATAATAAATTTATCAAATAGATAGGCCAGCCGTTGGATTGACTTTTGAAAAGCGACGTAGTTAGGTCAAATCAGCTCAAAAGCTTCTATAGAACTAAACCTATAGAAAGATCTTAAGGAGGTA